CAGGAATAGCTAGTCTCCAGTCAAATTCATATGTAATTTCAAAATTTATGATGGCAATCGTGCAAATAAACCAACTAATTAATGATAATGGAATACATGATAACAACAGCAACCAAAGAAACTCACAGAAGGTATTATGTGTACTGGCCTAGTCCAATGTATTTAAGCAGGTAATTTTAGATAAAAAAGGGGGAACATGCATATTGCATAGCAATAGCTTTTAATGTGCAGATGACTCAATGTTAAAGACATTCAAGTGAAAAACACTACTTTATCATATAAATCTTATAAACATCGAATTACAGCCTAGTACTGATTGTATGAAAGAACTATATGAATAAAAAAATGTTAGCCTTCATGGACATTAATGTTAGGCAATAGTATATGAGAGAGATTGATTGGAAAACTAATATTCTGTCATTGTCAATTATCTGCAAGCAGTAAAAATTCTTTTACATAATATGTATTTTATCAAGTGAAAAACCATATAACTATTTACGTCAAAAGACTCACCAAGTTACCATAAAAGAAAGAGTTCCCGCAACGTTTAAGTTTTTGGAAAAGTGGTTTGTGGTTAAGATTAATCAGACATTTAAAAAATTAAATACATATTCCTTTTAAAATACATTGTCGTAGGCTAGGCCAGTACGATCTATTTAGATCAAGCTATGACAAATAAAGTGTCAATTACCACCACGACAAAGACAAATCACAAAATATATTAAACCATAGATACACTGGCGACTTAAGCTACTCAAGTCGCATCTATATATAACCATTTTTATGTGGGTGTGTGTTCGTGTATCAGGACATAATTAATACAGTTCTAATCTTCTCGAGATTAAACAGTAAGCCATGTGAATGAAATTAATATACATGTGTTCTGCCCCCTATTTGCCCAAAGCAGATATTTACATGCTCATTTGTGTACATTGCGTTTGAAAATACTAAAAGCCCTAAAAATGTTAATATCTCCCTTCACCTATCATGACCGATCTTATCAGTTGCAAAACATGAAAAAGAAAATGCTTAGAGAGAGAATATCTTGCCATTCAAAGATGTCGATTTAGCTCTGTTAATTAACATATTTGGTTCATCGTCTTTGGTTAGTGGATCAACAAGCCTATCTCTATGGTCAGATTTATCTTTAGCATCTTTGAACACTAGTGGCTGAGAAACCCCAGCAGCCAGTAGAGAATCCACAAATTCTGTTCTACGGTTATCCTCATTGTCTTCTACTTTCGCTGAAAATTCATCTTCTGCACAAATCATGATCAAAAGAAAAGATGCCAAGTTACCAAAATAGGACTCAAAAAAAAATCCTCTGAAAGACAACAATCGCCTTCAAATGAAACTGTTACCTTCAAGCCGTTCCGTGATAAACGAAGCATAAGGCTCTATAAGAAGCTGGTTAAATGGAAGATCGGGAAACATTTGATAAAGAGCATAGGCTGCTACTTTATTTTGTGCCTCCTGGAAAAAAAAATATTATATTGCGAGTAATAAGATAAGATTTTAGAAATAATGTAATGATTTAAACACACCCCTATCATGAAAAAACTGAAAATAAATAAAGACAGATTAATCCACGAAAATAACTGGCTAACAAAAAAATTCAAAATTTGGTCACATATAATTAAGCACTGAATAATAAAAGTAACAATCCAGAGAGTAAAAACGGTTACCTCAGTTGATGTAAAAGCTTCATTTTGGTTAGGAAGATGGAAGGTTATCAAACCTCCAGCTTTTCGGCTCTTTCCACGTCCACTTGCTGTCTGCAAAACACTAACAGAATATAGGAATTTATCTTCTATTGTTGACACTTTGTTGTACTTGGGTGCTCTCCAATGTAGCCTCTGACAAAACTTCTGAAGAACTGCCTTGGGAATGCTTAAAGAATCACCCTGTAATAAGGATATTAAACTGTGCAGGTAGCTTAAATTATAGAGATGTAAATGGTTACAAACAAGTTCACACAGCAACAAATGAATAAAACAGAAGTAGAAAAACAAAAATTAGTATATAAAAGACATGGATGAATGTTCCCGTGTCTGTTCACAAGGATATGTTTCTATTTATGTCTCTCTGATACAAAAATAAGTTTGCATATCAGATGTATGGATACCTTCACATGGATAATAATATATACACTTTCATACCCATGCAACATTTTGAATATAAAAAATAGTACAAGAAAATAGACTGCAAAGCATTACCTTTTTCCATATTTCATCAATGTTTCCTAAAATGTGCCCATATGGAGATTGTAACAATTTGTCTTTCTTTTGTTGTTTCAAGGCTTGTGTAGGTAAAGCTCCACTGGATAATGAATCTTCAGAAAATAGATTATCAAGTTCCAACTCCTCAGGCTCCTCTTTCTGTATGCATTCCTCCGGAACAGTATGGATCAAACTAACCATAGCATGATTAGGTTCTTCCAAACCGGAGGAATCAACTATTAATGGACTCGCTGCACCTTTGTCCTCAAAATTGTCATCATCTGGAAGCTGAGATTCAGGTGATTGACCTTCTGGGCGATCACATATCATCTCATGCATATTCAAATTAGTAATTTCACCTTTCAAATCTGATTCTAAATCATTTTCTGATATACCTACAGAAAAAGTAAATCCAATACCATTATAAGATAGGAACTAAACGCTTTTAAGGAGAGTAAAGCTCTAAGCATGCAACTGTGGAACCTAGGGAAGCGAATTCACGCTTAAATTTTTTGATGATTTGACTATAGTGTTTCTGGTTAATCTTGTCTCCCTTTATCTTTGCTTCTAAAGCTCCCAACCTTGCCTGATGATACTCTTTAGTAATGGAAACAGAGTAAGAGCTTGGATCAACCTCCTGAAATTGAAATCATTAACAAAATTGCCATAGCAGCGAACAAGTCTATGATAAATAGAACTGCAATGGACAATTAAAACCTCACTATCAGCTAGTGTCACAGAATTCCAAAGTATGGCTTCGATTGGGAAAACTTCAGCTTTTCTGCTTTAGCTTCTAAAAGCCTGATTCCCAATAACAATTTTAAAAATGCTTTTCCAAAAATAACTTTTTAAATGTTATTTTACCCCCAAAAAAAAAGATTTGAGAAAGTTTGACACTCAAAAGAACTTTTTTTTACTACTTTTCCTACCACAAAAATAACCAAAAAGCTATTCCAAACAAAGCCTTCAAAAAGATAATTGAAACTCAATAGCAATCTATCACATTAAGGTAGTTATGCGTCAAAAACGTTTACCCGTGCAAGAAATTAAGTAGGGACAGTGCCCTTACCTGGACTTTGGCAGGTTAAATTTAAGTACACAACAACAATAATAACAACAAAGCCTTAATCCCACTACGTGGGATCGGCTACATGAATCCTTTTTCTCCATTGCATCCTATTTAGTGTCATATTTTCATTCAGTTCTAGTAAATTAAGATCATTTTTAATACAATAAGCCCAAGTCTTCCTAGGTCTACCTCTGCATTTCTTAACACAAGTCGAATCTAAAATTTAAGTATGCGGCACTTAGTCGAATCTAAAATTTAAGTATGCGGCACTTAGTCGAATCTAACCTCTGCCTTTCTTAACACAAGTCGAATCTAAAATTTAAGTATGCGGCACTTAGTCGAATCTAAAATTTAAGTATGCGGCCCTTATTTTGTATGACCTCTAATGGCACCAGCTCAAATTAATTATTGCATCAAAAATTCAGGACCGTAGATGTTAATACGCCATCAACAAGTTTCTTACATTTAACATGAATCTCGAGGCATAGCATAGATCTCGAGGCAATTTTTTTGGCCAAGAAATATTCAAATTTCAATTAAAAGTCATCTAGAATACTGATTTCAGCGAATTTACAGTCAAACTAACCAGCTTGGCGATACGGACCCAATGGTACCAAAATTGGTCCAATCCGAACAAAATCAAGCCCTAATCAAGCCACTAAATCGCTTTTGAAACATTTTGAATATATTTGGAAGGTCAAATGAATGTCGAATATGGCAAGCTTATATACGAATTGAGCGTCCCAACAAGACGAACCAACAAGCACAACATTGTTCAATGCCAATATCGTTACGACACTCGAATGTCCATCAAACACCGTCCTATCGAGAGAATCTCTCTGGATTGTCCGATAAGAGTAGTTTGAATTCCTTCATTAATTACAATCGCAACTATATAAAAAGTCTTATCGCTTCTTAAGAGGGGACCTGGAGCTTGAAACCTGAAGAAGATTGAAACTTGAAGGAGCGGAAATCCCGCATCACTTATGCACCGAAGATCTGCCGTCCTACACTCAAAAATACTCGTAGTGGACCCCCTTTTGACAAGGGAACCTTTCCCCTATCAGATCGGGATGCTGGCCTCCTGAATATTGCAAGTTCCACTCATATGTCTCGCGCAGCTCACTTAGCACTACCCTACATTACTGTCGTTCCTGATGATGTCATTAGCGACGAGCTACAACAACTGGTCCAAAAAAAATTTCCTCTGGAGAAAAGGTATTGTTTCCCCGCTCGCCGCAACTTCCAAGAATACTCTCCTTTAGCAAAGGCAGTCCAACACCATATCCTAGCAGACATCAAGCTATCAAACATCGACGCCTACAAGTGGGTAACTGACCCCTACGAACAAGTTGACCACCATCGAACCATTATGCACATTCAGCATGCCTCAAACGCGTTTCTATGTCACGTATTCTCACCCATTCTCAAGTTCATGCTCGCACCTATTTCTAGATTCTTTTGAGGTGCTATCAACACCTTTAACGAGCTTTCCTGACTATTTGTGGAGCCGTTCATGGCGAGTCTGCTGATCATCAACGATTCATCCCATCTCTTGAGAATTCATCAAAATAAGGGAGAATCGCTCATTGACTACTTCCACGGGTTCTCCACTGAAGCTCTTCAGATTCCGAGAGTGGATTCAGATTAGCGGGGGGGTTCCTTGGAGGACTCCGCTAAGACTTTTCTACTTGTCACAAATGCGAGCGACAATCCGCTCTTACACTGACATTATCCACTGTGTCGAGGCTCAAATCACTGAAGACGAGGCCATCAACGTGCACAAGGTGCAGTTCAAGCAATTTGGAAGAAAGCTCAAAAATAATACAGCAAAGAAAGTCCGAACAACGGGGAATTGTGACCTTCCTCCCCAACATGCAAGCCAGCGGAATCGTGACTTCCCTCCACGATATGCAAGCCAACAAAGTGAGCATCGACCCAAGAAAGTATATAGACACATTTCGCATTGAAGTCCTGATGGCTTTCAAGGACAAAGAAACTATTAAGTGGCATCAAACCCTAAAAACTAACTAGGAAAAGCTTTTGAGATTCATGGTGACTTGCGTGGAATTGAGACAAACCTAGAGAAGACGTGGTGCATCTAAGGAACATCAAGGCGGTGCAGCGCTTGAACGATCATATAGTCGTCCTATCCCGCATCTTAGCTCGTTATGTGGATAAGTATATGTCGTTCTTTAAGATACTAAAAAATGCTCGGAACTTAAGTTTTCAATGCACAGATGAATGTTAGGCCGCTTTCGAGCAGTTGAATGATGGGGATGACAATCTTCTTCACAAAAACGCGAAAGAAGATCTCATTGATCATCTGTTATGCAGAACGAGGACAACTTTCTTTTGCATCGCAACATAAAAGATCCTATTGATCACCTACTATGTAGATCGGAGATAATTTTCCACTTTTGGGAAATCTTGTTAATCAACCACTAGCAGGCCGATGAAACTCCACCTCCACCCTCTCTTTTTTCCCTATTTATAGCTCAAAAATCACCCATATTTATGTTCAAAAACAGATTTAGTCATCAAAAAATTGATTTCCCATCATAATAAAAAAATGATTTTCAGCCATAAACAAATAAAATAAATAAAAAATGCATCAGTTTTATGCGATAAATGCGATAAAACTATGATCAAGGGAAAACTAAAGCATTTTTATCTATTAAAAGTTGATAGAGATTTACTTTCATACCATGCAATCTATGTTAAAAATAAAAAAAAAACATACGGTGTCATAATATGTATACATATATATTGATCTCATGCTAAATGTCTCGGAATTAAAATCTAAAATGTTTAAAAATTAAAATTCGTGCGATTTTAATATATGTGTGTTTGTCCGTATAAACTAAAAAAAGAAAATATGCAAATTTACCTACAAAAATGTAATTCTTATATATTTGCATTTCTAACCCCGAAACTTGTATATTTATAGACATAACACTCAAATCTTTGGCATTACATCAATAATGCCACAATAAATATAACGTGCTCCGAATTTTGATGTTTTTGGACAATAAAGTAGGATTCGCCAAAAAATAGGAGCAACTAATAAGTCATTAACAAGTTTTCAATATTCACCATGAATCTCAAGGCATAACACAAATTTCGAGAAAACTTTTTGAGCAAGAAACATTCAAACTTTAATTAAAAATCATCCAGAATACCAATTTCAGTACACTTACTATCAAACAGATCGGTTCAACGAGACGGACCCAATGGTACCAAAATTAGTCCAATTTGAACAAAATCAAGCCCAAATCAAGCCATTAAATAGCTTTTGAAAGTTTTTTTGACATATTTGGAAGATCAAACGGATATTAAATCTATTAAGATTATAGTCTAACTGAATATCCCGAGAAGAAGAATTCAACAAGCCCAAGATTGCTCAATTCTGACATCGATATAACACTCAGATTTTCATCAAACACCTTCCAATTGAGCGAAATCTCTTCAAGTCGTCCGATCAAAGTGGTACAGATTCATTCAGTAATTGCAATCGGGACTCTATAAACAGAGCACAACCTCCCCCTTGAGAGGGGACCAGGAGCTTGAAGCCTAAAGAAGACAGAAAGTTGGAGTTCAAGTCTCGCATTACTTCTGCACCAACGATCTGCCACCGCCCTTCAGTCAACTCCAATCGCAGTTGCTGCCCTCCGGCAAACTCTGATTGTCACC